TCGAAAGCTTTTTCTGCATCTATTGAGATGATCATGTGGTTTTGGTACTTTTACCTAATTCTATAAATTCTAATTCAGTCCTTCTACGCCCTAGTAAGATCCTTTGTACCACTTCTCCTTCTTCCCTCTCCTATCACATACTTCAAAGTTTCAGAGATTTCCTCTTGCGTCCTTCCATTCCCAAGGCCTGTATCTTTAATAGTATAACTGTAAAGCTTTGTTAATCTTTTGATAATTAACTCTGTAAAATTACTGTTGAATTCTTTTCTGCCATTAGTGGAGATACAGCTGTCGCCTTGAGTACTTAGTAGCTGTGAGTAAATACCTGGGATGTCTTAATGTTTATACCATAATTGTGGATTTCTTCTCTAGGATTAAGGGTGGTACATGGGTGTTTCTTTTGATATATTAACATCCAATTTGTCTTGGTAGATGTCTTCTACAATAGTAGATGATTCCCTTGATATTAGCAGGGTTACGTAATTGTCGCTATTTCTCTGTAAATCAATACTCAGATGACCTTTGTGACATTAACAATACTAGACTACCTTCCCAGAGAACTTGGTTATTGAGCCAGTGACATGGCATCCTCGGCTCCCAAATTAACCAAAGTGCTTGGATCCTGAGGCTGTGACAAAGTTTATCGTTAGCCATGCATGAAGTAAACCAGCCTCCCAAGGGATTAGGATGGTTGCTAAAGATGGAGAACCTCCAGCTAATTTAGTTATTGGTGCTATTATCATAGAAGAGGATGAGCATCTTATTCTTTATTCAGTAGGGTGACTGACAGTCCTGAGTATCCCAGACTTAGCAGGGTATCCCAGAAAATGCCTTTGTCCTGAGCCACCCTGAGGCTTTGGTCACTCTTAACAGCTGGACCCACACTTCACCCTAGGAAAAGATTATTAGAATATGTGGCTAAAAAAAGGAAATGGGGTTGAGAGAATCTGAGGGGTGGGTGTTTTGCTCATTTGGGAGCTGCTGTTGGGGAGGGGCAGGGTTGGCAGAGGGTCTGGTGTGGCACGGGGTAAAGGCCCACTGAGAGGCCCCTGACAGCAGAGATCACCCTTGAGACCCTCAAGTCCTCCGCAAAGTTCAACAGTGGTTACTGAGAGTGGGTTTTCTTCATGGAAACTGAGGCAGGCGCTGGACTAGAGAAGGAAAACTATGTAACAGAGACAGGGGCAGAGGACAGAAGGAGTCCCGACGAGGGAACTGTTTGAAGGTTATTATAGTAGCCTTGGGATTGCCACAAGTTGTGGGACTAGGAGTGGAGAAGGGGAGTTTTTGGGTCAATCTGACTTCAGTTTGAAGGCATGGAAGCCAATCTATAACTTAATTCATTTAATAAACACAAAGTACTAACTGCACCACCAAGCCCTTCCCTGGACCTTAGGGGACATAAAAGCAGGAGGGCAAATGAGAAGTCACTGTGGTTTAAGATTAGAAAGATCAACAGTGTAAGCCAGGCTCTGGATAGAACCTGCTGCAGTGGAAAGAATTATCTATGGTCCAGTACTCACGTACACACAAAGGGCTGGGACACTGTGTTCCTTTAGTAACGTTGGACACTGGCAGCAACAAGCAGCTAATTCTCTAAATAACCAGTGATCACTGGGAAGCCATAGTATTCACGGGACCAAAATGAAAAGCACTCCGGCTGGTGGTCTCAGTTCGCCTAAATGAGAATCACCAGAGGAGCTGTGAAGAGTTCTGATGCCTGGGCCCCAACTCAGACCAATGGCCCATTTCTCTGGAGGTTGGTCTGGGCCATGAAATTATTTCCCAAGCTCGCTGAGTGATTTGAATACACAGCCCAAGTTGCAAACACTGGTTACAAATGGGACTTAGAGTGCTTGATGGATAGCATTTGGCTTCAAGTGCTTTTTCTGCAGTCCTGCTATGGTTTGTGTCTGCATGTCCCCCAAAACCTCATGCAGTCATGGGGTGGGCTTCTAGAGTTTATGATTTAATGTTGGAATTATGGATGTGAGTGCTACACCCGCCCTGGGGCAGGTAGTTTGCATACAATGTAAGGGAGGGAAAGAGGCTGCTAGCCGCTGCTCCTCCCCTGTTGCTCTTGCTGCTTTTGCTATTTCCCACCACCATGAACTCTTGCCCTCTGCCATGTGCCACTCTGCCTTGGAGCCAGCTGAGTATGGACAGTTAGTGGAAACCTCCACTAACTGTGAGATAAATAAACCTTGCCTTCCTTAATTCTGGGGATCGGGTGTTATCCCAGCAACGAGAGAAAAGTAACCAACACAAGTCCTCACAGCTCTCCTTTGCCCTTGTTTCCCAGCTGGGTTCCCACCCCCATGGGTTGCCAAGTCATCCTCAATTTCCTCCTCCTTTCCCAAATTTGGGCCAAAGTGTTGGGGCCAGAGAGGCCAGAGGTCGTAGGTGCGACACGTGCAGGCTGCACTGTTAGTCATGTGGGGGAACTGGGAGCAGCGCGGCCTGCCCCTCCCGCCCTCAGGATGTTGTGGGAGGGGGTTCAGGGACATGGCCACCACGTGACCCATCTTGTCAGCGCTTCTAGAAGTGGCACCGTCGATGGCTCTTTGCTCCTTTCACTTCCTCCTCCCGTTCTCTGGCTGTGACACTACCAGAAGGGCCTGGCAACAAAAAGACGGTGACAGAGGCTGGTTCAGCTTCCTCCCTGACAATACCCACTGCAAAGCTGGCAGAACACGACAGTCTCCCCAGAATGGAAATACACCTGCACTTTGTGTAGGTTACAAGGTTACCAGGGCCCCTGCTCCCAGACCTTGAGGGCCCCTCACTAATGAGGTGCAGGAGGGAAAGAGGAAGGACCTGGGCAACTCTGCCAGAGAGCCAGCAGCTGTACCCGCCGCTATTCGGCAACATGCTGGAGCCCAGTAGTAATGGAAAGTGAGAATCCCGGGGAACGAGACTACCGAGCAGTACCGAGAGAGGGACTTGAGTTCTATGCTCCTGTTTGCACAGAGCGCTTCTTGAAGAACATGGAGACTTTCGAAGACTTCCTTAGCTCAGTCTGCTTGGTTTCTCTTGTTCTTTACATTTAACACAGTTGTTTGCATTTTTAAAGAAATGCAAGTGTCTGAGAAACAAAGGGCATCCTTAGAAAAGGAAATCTTTAACTCCAAAAAGGATGGAATTAGTGGTCCCAGAGTGACTCTTTGACGGTAGCCCAGTGATACTGGATTGGGACTTCTGGCCTCCAGAACCGTGAGAGAATAAATTCCTGTGTTAAACCATGAAGTTTGTAATTTGTTATAACAATCGCAGGAAACAAACTGGCAACCAGGCTGAGACAGGAGGACAACAAACTTGTGCAAAAACATGTGTGGTGGGTGTGTTGGAAAACTTGTGCCCAAAAACGTGTGGTAGGTGTGTTGGAGATGTAGCTCAGTGTGAAGGTCCTGGGCTCCATCCCCAGTACAGTGGAGGGGTGGGGGAGAGTGATCAGTGAAATACGAAAACCAAGAGATGGGAGAATCCCAGAAGTCAGTGGAAGTTTGCAAGTGAGTGATTGACTATATCAACACTTCCGGGGGTCAGTATGAAGAGGCCAGGAGCCACTGACCTTGGCAGGATGGAAACTACTGGTGTTCCTGAAGATGGGGGTGCTTATGGAGTGGCAAATGAAAGCACCTGAAGCAGCTTACAGAGGAAAAAAAATGAAAGGACACTACTGATTACTCTTTGACAATGTTTCCCACAAAAGACAGCAGAGAAGCAAGAGGCAGAGGAAGCAAGTCAAAGAAGGATTTGCTTTTAAGAGAAGATCTAGTAGAGGCAGACACTCCTGCAGAGGAGGGTTTGGCATTAGCCAGGGCCATGGATGGTATGTCTGTAACGGCCAAGGTGAGCATGAGGTGCAGCTGGTGGACAGGTGGAGGCAGTGGAATGGGTTTGTGAAGAGAGGGCGTCAGCTGACAGCGAGGGAGATCTGGCCCACACAGACAGCAAGGCGAAGACGGAGAACAGAGTTGAAGATGCTGACCTCGTTGTGGTTGGGGTGCTGAGGCCACAACGCCACAAAGGCAAGGGGCAGATTCTCCACTGGAGCATCCACAGTGGGGCGTGGCTCCGTTGGTATTCTGACCGTAGCCCAGTGATACTGAGTGGGGCTTCTGGCCTCTAGCAGTGTGACAGAATACAGTTCTGTGTTAAATCACTAAGTTTGTAATTTGCTACAACGGCCACAGCAAACAAACTGGTGACTGAAGGAAGAAGAGCAGACTATCAGAAGCCCCTTTGCCCTGTTCGCTACCATCCACTTAGCACCCATCTCCAGCCTCCAAGTCTGTGTTTCAGCCACAGCCACCCAAAGCAGTACCGAGAGAGGGACTTGAGTTCTATGCCCCGAGTATCCCAATTTGGTCAAGCTCCCCTGGGTCAACGAACAAAGGAATGGAATCAGTGTAGGGAAGGTTAATGCTGTGGGTGGGGGCAGGGAACGCTTTGCACGATAAGGAACTGCAGGAAGATAACCCAATGGGATGCTGTCCAAAGAGAACCACTTCCGGGCTCCTTGCCATGTGCGCCTGCAGTTAGTGCTAGTCCTCAAACCACCTAGGACATGGGAACTACCGTGCCATGCAGACAGGGCGGCTGAAGACCAGAGCAGGTCATTCGTTCAAAGGCACACAAAGGTCGGTGGCAGACCCAGAATCCAGGTCTGCGTGGAACGAAGAGGCTGTGCCTCTGAATGCTGCACCAATCTGCCATCATCCTCTGGCTCCATGCAGGAAGAAGACACCTCGTGGGTATGCAAGAGGGGGTGTTCTGGGCCAAACACGGAAAACAACTGCGACATTCTCAGCCAAACTCTAAGAATATTTGAATAAGAGGTCCTAAGCGTGGTGTTTCTCTTTATTTCTTTATTAATGAGTCATGATACACAAAGACTTGATAAAAAGTTACATAAAAGGCTCAAGCATCATCGAGATGTCCAGGCATCACTCGTTTCATGACAGTGGCCACCTGTTAACACTGTGTAACAGAAGCTGGGCGCTCAAAGGCCCTCAAGAATTCAAGTATCTTTCATTCTAAGTAAACCCCACACGGAATCTCCAACCCAGCGAGCTGCTCAGGGAGGGGGCATACCTGCGGCTCTGCGTTTACTGTGACACATCTTAGGGGGCTTTGGATGAAGGGTTCTCACGTGTTAGTGGGCCACATCTCTAGGCAGAGTGAGACAGGCCACACCACGCCACACACTCACCACACCGGCATCATGAGGTGATGGACAGAGTCCTCAGAGAAAATACCCAGATGTCCTCTGTGTGGCACAGGGCAGGGGTGGTGGCGACAGCCCCGGTCGCAGGGCTAAGGATGGCTAAGATTACCTCTGAGGAGAAAAGAAGCCCTTTAAGGAGGGGGTCAGAAGAGTGGGAGTAACTCTGAGAGCACACAGTGACAAAGGCATGGGGTGAGGGGACTTCAGGAACAGTGTGCTCAGGGGACAGGAAGACGGCACTATTCTCTGTAAAACTAGTGGTAACGCGTGGATGACAACACAGCCACAAGTCTCAGTGGACTCCCAGTCATGGAGCAGCACGGCCAGCCAGGCTTCCCAGCCTGACCCTGCCAGGTGATGGATGTCCCCGGGTACACTACTCCAGCCCGTCTGGACACTTCCTCTGTCACAAGAATCTGTTTCTACAAGTGGGGTGTTATCTACCCATTTTACCTATGGGGAAAATGAAGTCAGAAAAGTTTACCATCAGCCCCAATCCACGAAGGGCTACAGAAGACCAGCCCTTACACAGTCTCTCCCTCAGGCACTGTGGCATTCAGCTGTAGGCTGAGTTTAGGAAAGAGGCCCTGGAAGATGGGGTGAGGTTTCTGGCAGCAGGTGGGGGAGGCCAGGCGCGGTGCAACATGTTCTGGCTACCTTTATGGCTCAGGGCTTCACTGTAGGTCAGCTGACCTGTTTCCAGCAAGCCTTGCCGCACGCAGCGCTGCTGGAGTGGGAGGAGACGGGTGTGTCCAGCGGCCAGGGTGAGCTGGCGGCGGGTGACGCCTGTGTTCTCCGGCAGTGGCCGCTGCCTTCCTTGCAGGGCAAAGCATCCTGGTCCTCACATCTTCCCGCCTGCCCTCCCTCCTCACTTCCAGTTTTCAGCTGCTGCCGAGCTGCACGTGTGCCTGCTACGCTCACAGCTCAGAGGAGCCCAAGGGCTGGGAAAAGCCTTGTCCTTCTAGTGTTTAAAATACTCGCTGACATTTATTATAGGCTATCGGGAAACATCTGAAACGTTCTCTTACCCTTCCTTTCAGGAACAGAAAAAAGGGCTATTTTGACAAATAGGAAGTTTGACTAGCAGAAGTCTGCACTGCTTCCTTCTGGAGCAGAATCGCTGCTCGGCCGGGCCCTCCATGCTGGGGGTCCTGCAGGGTCGGGAGCCCAGAACTCTCCGAGCTGGAGAAGAATCCAGGGGTCTGAGGATGCTGTCAGAGCCTCACTTCCCGTGGCTTTCTTTGCATGAGTTTCTTTCACCAAAGAGGATCCAAGCCTCCTGCTGGGAATGTTCTAGTTCACAGACATCTGGGAGTAAGGTCAGTAGCCATGCCATGTCTACTGACTTTCTCGGGAGTGGACTCTTCCCGCTGTCCGGAAACCCCCACCCTGGCTGGGGAAGTCCAGTGTTTGTTTCCACCAGCAGCACCAGCGAGGGAGGCGCACTGTCAGGCAGGCGGAGGGGACCGTCCCTGCAGAAACAGGTGTATGGCAGCAACACCACCAGCCCGACACTGCCTTCTCCTCTGCTGTTACTGTCAGGATCTTATCATCGTCAAGAGCCACGGGGGTAAGAAAAGTCCGCGCCAAAGGCAACTAAGTCTGCAACACTGGAAGGGTTGGCTCATTTCCTGGGCTCACGGAGGCGGTGGTCAGTTGACTCAAAGGGAAATGGCTTTAGTCCTGGTGGTATTTTAGTGATAACAGGATTGAATCCGTCGGGTTAGGATTCGGCGTGAACTAGCGCTTTCTGGAGTGTCCACATTAGCGTCCTCCGATGAGTCCTGTGTTTAATCAGAGAGGCACCGGGCAGCACAGGGGAAGTGGTGGGGCAGGAGAGGGCAGAACTGAGACACTGGGAACGCTCACACGTCTGGGAAGACGGAGAACTGAGCACACACTGTCTGAGAAATGAATGTTCCGCAAAGCCCATCTGCTTACCTTAGTTTGTACATTTAAAGGCAATAAAAGCCGCTTTTAGAACTGACATACTCATGCCAGCCACTCACCTCAGCAAATCAAAACTGTTTTCTAATATCTGCATCCTCAACTGTAGCAGTGCCCTCCTCTTCTCTGCAGTTTCTAGGGCACGCTAGCGTCCGTTTCCCTCCCGTATCTGACCCACAGCCTCCAGCGAAGGTCCCCACTAACTTCCGTTCTCCCAGTCACTCTACTTTTAATATTGGCACTGCTGGGAAAACTCGGTTAAAAAGACGACTACACGATTCCAGGCATGTTCTCAGAGAGGTCTGCCGAAGATCTGGGACTTCACCAGGCAGTGGGCAGAGAGCCCTTCAGTAAAATAATCATCACGAAAGGAATTTAAAAATCTACAGAAGACATCTGAGCCCAGACACCGTAGAATGGGTCAAGGGGAGAAAGCTTGCTCGTGGCTGGTTTGGTACTCTGACGGGGATACACACTCCCACGTCAAACCAACACGGCAGTTAAAAGAAACACCACGCCCACTGGGAGGGGAAACCAGGCTGAACCCACACGGAGGAGCCTGGACGCTGCTTCTGCTCACGGGTGGCTTCCTTGTCTCTGTTAGGAGAGGTGGAAAAGCCAGCGCGCTCCCGCAAGGCCAGACCCCGCCTGCTCGCTGCCCGCCCTCCCTCTCCCCCTTCCTGTGCCAAGTCCTCCGGCCAAGGGTCGTGGTTAGCAATGGCTTTCAGTGCAGGCAGGCAGTGGAGTTCCGAGGGCTGGTGGTGATCACGGTGCTGGGGCCCAGGCCGTCACAATACCACACACTGCAGTCTGTGGGTGCCGGTGGCGCGGTCTCCTCGCCATTTGGTTTTCTTCTTCTTCTTCTGGCTTTTTTCTGGAATCTGTTGCCTTTGAAACGGGGAAGAGCAGAAAGACAGAGTTAGAATGGGCTTTGCGCCTCCTCTACCCTCTCCCCGTGAACCCGGGAGAATCCTGGGGTGGGCAAGCTCATCGCCACCTTCCAGGGAGCCTGTGCCCTCTGGGGCTGCGCGGGCAGGGAGCACTTCCATTTCGCAGGTGGCGTCCCCACTTCGGTGCCCAGCAACCTCACCCGCAAGCCCATGCACGGTTAGGGGAGGCCAGAAGCAGGCAGGCAGTGCAGGGGAGAGAATGGACAGCAATATAATAAACAGCAAAAGAGGACTTGAAAGGCCCAAGCTCCTGGCTCAGGACGAGGGCTGCAGCCCTTCAGCCCTCCAGCCACGGCTGGCTGACCCCCTCCACGGGGGCCTGGGCCAGGGCGGGCGCAGCGCTCACCTGATCACTCTGACGAGGTCGTGGAAGGCTTTGTCCACATTGAGAGGCGGGTCCTTGGCACTGGTTTCTATGTAAGGAATCTGGAAAGCAAAGCTCAGCTTGGTCAGGGTGGCGCTGGGACCCGCAAAGACTGCTCCACCCCTACAGCCAGGAGCGCCAGGCCCCGAGGAAGCCGCACAGTCTCTCAGCCCCCCAACCTCCTGTGGGGGCTTCTTTCTGCTCTTTAAGGTTGGAAAGTTTTACTAATGGCTTTTGAAATTCCCTCTGTCCTCCAGTCACAGAGATACCTAACAGCTTCCTAAAAACAGAATAAAAGAATCTTTTTATACACCAAAAGACTAAAGATTGTTTGCTTTCTCAGGCTAAGATACAGTCTGATTCTATTCACGTTTCTTTTCTCTCCACCCTGAGGCAGAGACACCCGAGGGCAAGGCTGAGAGAGGCTGGGCTGTGAGCACTCAGACCTGGGGTGACCCTGTCAGGTCTGTGACAGCCCCATCCCCAACACGCCCGCCAGCGCCAGCCCTTGCTCGGTCTGTATGCCCGCTGGGAGCCCAGCCAGGTTTACACAAGAGTAACGCTGAGGAATCATCACACGGCTGGTGGGAAGGCAGCGGCGTGTGGGCACTGTGGCTGGGGTGATCCCACAGGCCACGTCCACCCTGAGCCGTCAGCTGCCAGACAGAGGGGAACGAAGGTTTGAGGAGGTCAGGACACACTCCTGGGTGTCACCTTCTCCTACGACGGGGACCCTGCAAAGGTCAGGAGTGCTCATTCCATACGTGAGCGGCCTTCGGGGAAACACGCGCAGGCCCCTCTGGCTGGGACGGAAGCCGAGAGGTTAGACATAAACCATTTTCCAGTTACACATCAGTGCCTTCCACTACAACACACTTGAACAAGAAAAGGACGGTGGAGAAAATAAAAATGACCCTTCATTAACAGCACCAGAGAAGGGTAACGAGGTTGTTATTTTAGAGCTGTACACAGTACTCTAAAGCACTGCCCAGAATGCAGATACTCGGTATCTTCCTGTCGATGATCCCTGTGGCAGGTCTGATGTCCACACGGTTGTGGCTTCAAGCACAGGGCCTACGGAGCCGCCAGACACACAATAGGCACAGCTCAGGCCTCCGACATCTTCGCTGGACAAGTATTTAAGGTTCCAATAACCCTGAAAGGATTATTGTGCCACTGTGCCACTGTGGGCTGTTTGGCTGCCTGGGTCTCGTGTTAACCTCTGAGGCAAGTGCGCACCCCCATTCTGCAGTGGGGAGCCAGAGCGCAGAGACACACCAGGCAGGGCCCACCCTGTCTAGTAGAGAAGCAAGGACTGAACAGGCTCAAGTTCCACCGCCCCGCCTGGCCTCCCATGGTGCGGAGCTCAGCTCTGGGGCCTCTTCCAGGCCGGGGGCCGCGTCCGGGCGTGGTCGGTATCTGTGTGGATCGTGACAGTGTGCCGCCCTGTGCACACCGAGGACGTGGGAAAGCACCTGCCGCACACCGGCAGCCTGCTTGGAGCCCGTCTGCATCCCGTGCTGCTGCTAGCTCAGTGAGCTCTGGTATCCAGCAGTCTCAGGCTTCTGCTGCCCGTGGCTCAGAAGGACATGAGTTGTATTATCCCCCCGGGTACCCGGACACCCTCTACCGTCTTCCTGCTTCTATCCCTGAAGAAAAACTGACGTGCATTATCTTCAAACTTCAGCAATTTGTTAGTGATAGGACTTAACCTAAGGGAAACCTTCAATAAATAGTAGCGCTGTGAAACTCCACCAAAGAAATGCCACCTTCTGCATTAGGTGGGAGGAACCTACCTTGGATAGCTAAAGAGGAACTTGCCTCATGAGCTACAGCTAGATGCCGTTGACAGCAGCACAAATGGGGCGGTAGCATTTACTGTGGGGGAAACAGCCTCAGGTGAGAGACTAGAGACCCTGGCACGTGGGGGTGGGAGAAGCCACAAAGTCCCTAGGAGTCCTTAACCTTCCGGTCTCCTTCCTTTTTATCTGCAAGATGGGGCTACTGCTGCCTGAGCAGTCCGGACCCCGCAGAGCTGCAGGGAGGGAAAACCCTGCACACACCTAAGGGAAGCACTTAGCAAACTCCTCAGACCTGAGGGTCTGGCCGCAACAATGGAGCCCGAGACCGAAATGCAAATGGCACCTCGGGCCCATCTCTGTTCAGGACAATGGGTGCTGCAGTTCTCCACCAAGCCCATCTCTCACCCTAAACTCTGAGGTCAGCTGACTACTCCGTGCTCCGGGAGGCATTCTCTTCCCTCGGCTCCCAGACACCCACGCTGGTCCTCGGACGTCCCTGACCACTCAGTCCTTCTGGCGGATCCTTCTTGGTCTCCCCACACCCACGACATTGAAGTGTCCCCACCCTCAGTCCCAGGATCCCTGCCACACCCACATCCTCCCACCCTCTCCTCCTCCACCCACCCCGTCACGGCTTAACATTCCATCCCCAGATGCGGAGTTCCAATCTCAACCCCCAGGCTGGGCTGTCAGACCTCTGCTGTGGCTCCTCCCTTGCCATCGATAAGGCTTCTCAAGGCGAAGACAGCCACCCCAGCTCCCGCCCTCCCCACGCCTCTCCCCCTGCTGTCCTCCCGCGGGTGGTGACTCGGTGCCCAGCAGTCTTCGGACACGTGCTAGTGCCAGAGGTCCTGGAGTCACCCGCTGTGCCTTTCTCTTGTCCCACCTCCGATCAGGGGACAAATCCTGGTGGCTCCCTGGGAAACACAGCTGGAGTCCACTGCTTCCTCCCAGCCTCATGAGCAGCTCTTTGGTCAAGTCAACCTCCTGTGGGGTCCTGAGGCAGCTGTTACCTGTCTCCACGCTCTCAGTCTTGCCCTCTATGGACCGTTGCCCACCTGACCACCAGGGAGAAGGTGTTCAGGTGTCATCAGACCATGTTGCTCCTGCTTCCAAACCCTCCAGTGTTTTCCCTCCTCACTCTAGGGAAAGCCCACAAGGCCTCAAGCCACCTCTCGGGCAGGCCTCACCTCCTACTGCTCACTGCTCCTGCTCCATCTGCTCAGCCACGCTGGCCTCCTTGCTGCTCTGCAAACCCCCACCTCGGGGCCTTTGCACGGACTATTCCCTCTCACACAAAGTTCCTTCCCAAGATATCTGCATGGCTCACTCCCTTAAGTCCTGGCTGAAATGGACCTATCCCGGAAAAGCATCCCCTGCCCTCGTCTGCTTCTCTCTGTAGCCCGTGTCACCTTTGGATGAACTCTAATTTGCTTTGTTTACTGGATATCACTGAGGTAAACACCATCAGGCAGGGATTACTTTTTCCCTGGGCCAATGGAATGAACCAACACAGAAGGCAGAGATCGGCAGAGTCAACAACAGTGTGCCCCTTCCTCTGAGCAGACTGGGCCACTGAGCTGAGGGGAGGGGCAACCTGAGAGCAAACTTCCCAGCAGGCTGCGGAGCCTTGTGTGTAACCAACCCAAGGAGGCCAGGGGCTGTGTCTCTATGGTAGGGGAACCAGACACATGTCCAACACCATCCAGAGGTGTTGGAGACTGCTATATAGTGGCTCTGAGCAGGATTTAATATTAACCAATTGGCTTTCTGATTAATTGTGAGTTGGCTGAAGCTTAGACACCTTGTCTGGAATTGGGCAGCAGTCTCACGGTAAATGAACCTCTATGAGTCACTGGTCACCGCTGAGGCCTATATTGGCCTGTGAAGCTGTGACGCCTCAAAGGACAAGATAAGGCCACAGCTGAGGACGTTTTCGCTCCAACCCCAATTAACTAAAAGGAGACTGCAGCTGCAGGCTCCACACTCCTACAATAAATACCAACCTAAAGATAAGGCAGGTCTCCTGATGGACCTAATTTACTACTTGGGAAAATATTTCCCAAAGTCCTGCTAGATTCCCTTTTTTGAATATACTCCTCCTTTGTTCAAAAACCTAATAAATACGGCTGCCCAGAGAAGTCTTGGTCTTAATCCAGAGAATCTTATATTCTGTAGGGGAGTTCAACCCTCTTTGGAGCCCTATAATTATTCCCACTGTCTCAATTAAGCCTTCACTGTACACTTGTTTGGGAGATTGCAGGCCTGATCAGCCCGCAAAAACTCAGGATATTAACCTGATACAGAGGAGAGAGGGATCACAATGAACTAGAAAAACTAAGATGTCTGCTGATGCTCACAATGTAGCCCAGGGGCAAACCCCAGTTTAATCCCTTGGCAAATGGGGACAACAGTACCTCCCACTGGCGAGGCTGTGAGGGGCAAATCGCATGGTGAATGTGTTCCTCTGGCAGGATGCCTGGCACAGAGCAGGGTGCAGTGGGCAGAGCTGATCTGTGCTGACTCTGAGCAAAAGCAGCTGCTGGCTCAGCGGTGGACAGAAGCCACGTCCTCTCCAGAGCCCGGGATGAAGCTGTGGTGCCTGGGTGGGAGGGGGCTGAACACCACGGCCTTCAGGCAGCTTTCGGTAACTGCCGAGCACGTCCCTCTCTGTTTACTGACTCGTTTTGTTCTTTTATTTTTGTATTTTTGAGACAGGGTCTCGCTATGCAGTTCAGGCTGGACTTGAGCTCACTTTGTAGCCCAGGCTGGTCTCGAACTTGCAACAATCCTCCTGCCTCAGCCTCCCGAGTGCTGGGATTACAGGAGTGCACCCTATGCCCGGCCTGACTCATTTTGGAAATATCCTGCCATCACACTTTACCCAACGAGGTTCGCCTTTCTGTGGGATCCAGCCGCGATGACGGAGCACTGACCCTTACACACACGCTTGCCCCCAGCACCCACCCACACACACACAAACACACACACCTACATTGTGTTTGGTCGCCATTTCTTTTCCTTGCTCCCTCGTGATCTTCCTCAGGTGCATCAAATCAACCTTGTTGGCCACGAGGATCATGGGGAATGACTCCCTGGGGGGAGAAACAACAACCCAGTGAAGTCGTCCACCCCGTCTGGTGCAGCCACACCTCAGGCACACGGATAACACACAGCAGAACACACGGAGTGGGGCGGGGGAGCCATGCGACACAGCGAAGAGGCCCAGGGAGTGCGGGCGCTGCTGGCTGCCTCGGGGTGAAGCCTCATGCCCGCCACAGGGCTCGTGGTGAAGCCGACCAGTGCCCGTCGCTCCATCCTCTGCTGTGCCAACCACAAGGGACTCTGCAGCCCTTAGCAGCGACTGCTGAAGAGCAGCGTCTGGTCCAGCACAAGCACGTGATCAATGACTGCAGCTGCACAATGAGGATGGCTCCCCGGAGAGGAAGAGCAGGGTCAAGGTATGTCTGCCTGGAAGCTCAGACTGCTGTGACCAGACTACTGTCCGAGTTGAACGAGAGGAGATTCCACCATATCTGTGGCAGCCCTGGCTGTTTCCAGTAAAATGTAGTCTGACAGGGGAAGGAGGGTACTGTGTTACTTTCCTTACATTTCTTTGATTAGTAATGAAATTAAATATCTTCCCACAACTGGGTCATCTTATGCCTTCTTTCATGTATTTTTTCCCTTTTATCTCTTCAGGGGTCCAGCTCACATTACTCTATTGCTGTGTGTGTGTGTGTGTGTGTGTGTGTGTGTCCCTTTAGCTGGTGAGGTTATTAACCCTTTTCCTTTGGAATAGATGTTAACTGGGTTTTTTGGTCTTTGCTGGGATTTGTTCAAAGGCTGCTGTTTTCCTATTAGTTTGCCCTTTTATTTTTTTGCATCGCCTCTTGGACAGCCAGCTGACTGACATTATCAGTTGGGCTTAAACAGCCTCCTAATTATTTAACTGCTCTATACAATGTTAAGGAAAAACAGCTTTTAGTTAGGGGCTTAGAAATCTCACAAATGCCATTTGACCAATAACATATTCTGGAGAGAAAATTCCCTTTTTCTTTGCCTTTAACATAATTTGGTTAAACTGGAGTTGAAAAACAAAGCTGTCACTTACGATTCCTTGACTGAGGGGACAGTTTACGGCGTTGGGAGGCAGAGGATCCCTTGGAGCCTGGGCAGTAGTCTGACACCAGAGAAAGGAACAGGCAGGGAGGCGTGGGAGAACTAACAGAGCTGGAGAATTCAGCTCTGGGCTCTGTGCCCAGCTTCTGCCTGGGGCCAGAGGCAGAGGTAGAACAGCGGCCCCTAAGGGCCAGGAGCGGGAAGGTCTGGCCCGCCACCCTCACCTGTCCTTGACGCGCAGGATGAGCTGGTGGAAGCGGTCCACATGCTCGAAGCTGGCCTTGTCGGTGACGGAGTAGACAATGAGGAAGCCGTCTCCCGTGCGCATGTACTGCTCCCGCATGGCGCTGAACTCCTCCTGTCCAGCTGTGTCCAGCACTAGGGGAGGGAGGAGGCCGCTCAGGGGCTGCCGCGCACCAGCCGGGGCCCCACAGCCTTCAGACCCCAGGCTGCTGCCGTGCCCGCCGCGACTGCGCAGTTCGCCGGGGATGCGACGTCGGGGCCCTGCAGGGCTCAGCTCCTTCAGAGGATCTTTAGTGTGCAGCTCAGGGGGGCTCACTTCGACCCGGTGCTCGCTGAGCCGCGAATGCCGTCCACAGGCAAACCTCACGAGGTCAAGATCCGCTTTCACGAAGTCCCCAAGGATGGGAGCGGATGCTCCTACAACTGGGGTTCTTCGGCAAGTTACCTGACCCTGAGCTCCACTTCCTCCTCCGGTAAATGGAAAGAACGCCTCCACCTCGCAGCCGCTGAGGGAGCGCATGTTTGTGGAGGAGGTGTGGGAGCCCCGAAGAGGCCACGTGGACAGAAGGGTCCCCCGCCCCTGCCTGTGTGGACAGAAGGGCGGGCCTGAGGGAAGGGCTGGCCCTCCGCAGCCGGGGTTTCTTGGCTGCTAGGCAGGAAAGGGGAACTGGGGCAGGGACCAGGGGCGGCTGGGGAGGGAGGAAAGGTTCTTCCCTCCAACCCACCAGCCCCAGGCCCTGATGCTCTTTTCCTCCTGCTGGGATAAAGTTCTCACCCTGCCTGCCTGAGAGTTGGAGAGATAGCAGCACAGCCAGGGTCACCTTCAGCAGTGCAGGTCTGCAGCTCCAGCCCCACCAAGCAGAAGTCTGACCCTCAGGCATGCTCCGCACCTCTGCTGCCCATCTGGCTTACCTCCGGCCTTCCCAGCTCACACCGCTGTCTGACCAGACCCAACTGCTCCTCTCCCTGGAGGCAGGGGAGCCGGTGGTCAGAGTCTGAGGCCCAACTGCTGTGCTGAGTCCAGTTCATCCTTTCTGGGATGTGACCCTGGGCAGGCTCCCTTCTCTGCATATCCTAACATGAGGACAGCCATGGCTGTTTGCAGTAATATGCACAGTGCCCTCAGAATGGGGCCAAAGCCTTGGAGCAGTGTCTGCTGGGAGAAAGCTGCCATCCTCACTCTGGCCTTCTCTCCCTTCGACCGCACTGCCACCCACCTTCTCCCCTCGCCTCAGCTAATTCTGGTGCCGTATTCTGCTGGCTGATTCCTGGGGCTCTCCTTACTCTGCACCGGCCCTCCCACTCTCCCTGTTGCCATTTAACCGCCCCCTGAACCCTCTGCCACTGGGCTGTTAGCTCCCGGAGGCAGGGACCTGGTCTGTTCATCTACTTGGGGCCTGGCACAGAAAGTTCCCACACTGGGCTTGAACGAATAAATGGGAAGTCTAAGTGATTTTGTTCGTTCACTTAGCAGCTGTGCGCCTACCGTGTGCGAGGCAGGGTCTAGGCCCGGTGGAGGCAAGGTGCGTGAGGCAGAACCCTTGCTCCTTCACGCCTTATCACCTAGCAGACAGACAGACAAATGGCTGGCTCAACTTCAGGCTCAGTAAGCACCTACATGAAGAACATAGCCAGCTGGACGGTCCCTGGCAGAAGCTGGCATCACTTTGGACAGGGAAGGAGGGCATCTCTCAGGAGACGGGGAGAGCCATGTGACACAGGGAACAGCACTCCAGCCAGAGGGACAAGAGCAAAGGCTCAGAGGCCACATGAGCTGCGGCAGGCCTGATGTGCTGAGGAGACGCCCAGGGAGAGAAGGGGCGGGCCAAGGGGTCTGCTGCCCTGGTTGAGGTTTACTTCATCCACGCAGGACAGGGCAACCGGAGCATGGGTAGAGAATGGTGCATGAGCAGAGAACGGCCTAACCCGGAGGACGTTTTGAAAAGTCCGCTCTGGTTGCTGGAAAGAAAACAGGCCACGCGTGGAAGCAGGGGATCTAGTCAGGAAGTACATGTAGCGCTCCAGGGGAAGTAGAATGGAGGGTCTCTGAACCAAGCGCCAGAGGAGTGTGTGAGAAGTGACCAGGTGCCAGCCACGTTCTAAAATGGACTGGCCCTAAGGATGCTGCTGGATTCTGGCCGGGGGAACTGACTGTGGGACAAACAGTGCTTGGTGGGCTCAGACTTTGACACAGCCTGCAGGGCTCAGCAGACCCCTCTGTGGGGCTTCAACAGGCATTTAAAGACCTCAGTCAGATTCTGAGAAGAAAAGAAGGGTGAGAGGTAAAGAGGTGGAATGCCCACGGGTGGATGGCAAAGAAAGCCGTGGAACAAGCTACCCAAGTACCCCAGGACTCCACATCTTTGTCAGGCAGGTACTTTAGACTGTCCTTGAGAAAGTGACCTGTCCCCACAGCCGTCACGGGGTCCCCCCTTCTCCACTCTTCAGCACTTCCAAGGGCAAGTAACAAGGACCCAGGATGTGCCCCAGATATGCAAGCAGCGCATGGCTGTTCTGTCTCATTCCTTGGGCCTCAGTCCCATGAGGGAAATGACAGTCTCCAGGGCCCTTGGGTCCTCACAGCTCTCACACTGCAGAACTCTTTCATCTGGACATAAGAAGACAGGGCCCATAGCACAGTGGGGAAGACCCACAGTGGATGGCAGAGAAACAGGAAGACTGGACTCCTCCGTGGAGCTTCCCACCCCCCAATAAATCCCGCTTAGAACTGTGATCAATAAAACAGATGAAAGGGGCATGAATCTGGCTGACATGTGGATGAGGCGGCCTGCATTGAACAGCAGAAGACCTTACGGAAACAAAACTACAGATCTGAAATCTA